CCAATACTGCCAATAGTTTTGTCTAGTTTTCAAATGTTTCTCCCCCCCCCCCCCCCATGATTACAAATGATGTACGCCACATACGTATAATATATTTGACGTTTGACCTGTGTTAATATACCATACACGTGTTTCCAGTCCGTGTAACATTTATTATCTTGTACCAAATTCTGGGCGGGTTGGAAACGATGTGTTTATACGGTAGGTCGTTATAGACCATTTTTCTCGGAAGTCGAAGATACGGCATCCAATCACTTTGCTAAGAAACCGTGTGGATATTGCACTGATAGATGTATCGGTCACCTGATAGTCACAAATTTGTTATCATGCACGAAGTTTGTTATTATTTTGTTTTGTTTTGCCAGGAATGGTTCGTGTAGCAGTTCCCGTAAATCAGTGGTCCTTGAAACATCCCCTGGTAACCATGGTAACAATGACAGGGAAGACTTGGGTAAGTAAGCTGGTATTCTATATTTCCTATATTATTACTTTTACTCAAAGTGTTTGGATGTGAAATGGGGAAGTCACTTTATTTCGTCCGCTACGTGCCCAGTAAAGATGATGATATATAACAAAGGGCTCTCTTATGATTATTTCGTTAGCTTTTTGAAGGGCAGTGTCATCTTGTAGCTCGTGTTTTTCATTGTGGGGGAATGCAGTTAAAAACCGGACTCCTTGAGCGGGGGTATACAAATGTCAGACACGGAGACAGCAATTCGTCTAAGAAACTAATAAACTAATGGTTTATTCAACAGCGAATGCTGGAACATAGTAACGAGTTACAAACTGAAGAAATACATATCGAGAAGCGTGTGTTTCATTCTTATATACCCTTAAATCGAACGACATAGGAAACATAGCCCACAAAAAAAGAGTGAAAAAAGGCGGGAAAGCTTGAAGGACAAACTTACGATCAGTGATTGGCCATGTCTATGAAAATACTATGTCGTGATTGGCTCTATAAATACCATGGTAACAAGACTAATTAAACACACGTAATTAACAAGAGGATTTACTTTTAGAATCCGGCTGGCTAATATAAAAGGCTGATATATAAACTATTAGTATCACAGCTGGTACTACATGAAACGGGTGTGGAGTCGCTTGTCCTTGAATTTCATATAACTCGGAGTAACTTTCTCCGACATTCATTTCATGTAAACAATGTATTTTACACGCGTTGTATATGTCGCTATGAGTCCCATATCAAACACGACGCGGCACGACGACCAGCGCCACTTGAAGTAAAATATGCAGGAAAACGTATACAAGTCACTGCGCATGCGTATTACAGTAATGGCTTTGATTTTTCATCTAATGAATAGGGTTTGTGCCTCGTGCAAACGAAACATTTTCAGTTTATGATAAAGTCCGATTTGGTTCACATTAACAACTTGAATTGAATATTTTATTTCCACATTTTTTTTTTCAAAATTTTGTTAATGGAGTCGTCATGGAAATATCATCCACTACATTCCAGTTACCCAAATAATGAAGCATTCTTTTTATATCTTCTTTCATTAGCCAGAAATTTTGTAGAAACGTCATTTTCCACATTCCTGTCACCAGTCGGTCAGCATTCGTGTAGTGCCCAAGATGGCGATGATATAATGTGTATCTGTTGCGGTGATGACGACTCTGTCTCGGGTATTGGAGTGACATCCGCCACCAACTACAATCACCCCCACTATGCTACGACTGCCTCATCCGTGGATTCTGGTGTGGGTCACGAGGAACGTAATAACGCACCATCAATATTCGTGGGAGACATAAACGCCGAGTCTGCGCATGCTCCAGCTCCAAAACCTTTCAAGCAGTCTGATTTATAATGGAGAAATCAATTTCAAATCATGTTTGTTTGTTTGTTTGTTTGTTTATGTTTTAGAAACGTAATACAACACTTTATCGAAGGTAGAATGCTACACAAAAAGTAAAAATATTATCATTTTTTTTGTTTTTACATATTTAATATATCATCTTACGAGAATTAATAAAAATAAAAATATGTACTGAAAATAACATGTTGTTTAGAATTTATCGTAATATCTTATTTTTTCCCGGCAATATACTATTATGGTGAAAATAAACACAGTGTATAGTGTCATAAAAAGATATTATCAATTGACAATATTTTATTGGGGTCTCAATGAGAATGTGTTTTCATTGTGGTCTATAAAAATCGCTGCTAAAGTAGCATTTAATCATATTATTTTACCAAAAAACTTCGCTTACTCTTGATATAATACAAAAATGAATAATTGTAGACAGATTTGGACACAAAATATTGATATTGTCATATGCGCTAAAATATGCGCACACGTAAAAAAACTCGCGAGTAGCATTCTACCTTAAGAGGGCGCTCCAAGTTTTCTGCTAATATGAGTAATAGAGAAATATACTTCAACACATAAATAATTAGAATTATAAGAATGTACAGAATATGTGATTTTCTTTCAATTTTATGAGTGAGTGTTCCGGTCACGTGAATAAACCTAGATATCGTCTATCAAACCTAATTCTTATGGGTGTGTTTGTTTGTTGTTAAATCATTCCACACTATAATTGCAGCACATTCGTTGTTGGCATACCTCGCTGATGTGAACTTATACTACTAGCATACTCAAATTGTGATGAAAATATTCTACGAAATAATTATAGACTGTCTATTCTATATAGTATTATTTGATTTCACCTGACAACCGGGATATCACCTGGTGCACTATTGACCCCTCCGAGACAGTATGGAGTACCCTTCCGGACAGTATGGAGTACCCCCCCTTCCTGTATAGCATGGGCTTACCCCACCTCCAGATAGTATGGGTTACCCCTCCGGCATAGTGTGGATTGCCCCCTCTGGATAGTATGGATTGCCCCCCTCCGGATAGTGTGGATTGCCCCCTCTGGATAGTATGGATTACCCCCTCTGGATAGTATGGATTACCCCCTCCGGATAGTATGGATTGCCCCCTGGGTAGTATGAATTACCCCCCTCTGGATAGTATGGATTACCCCTCCGGACAGTATGCCTCTCCTGCCCGTATAGCATGGGCTTTCTCCACCCCAGATAGTATGAATTACCCCCTCTGGAAAGTATGAATTACGCCCTCCGAATAGTATGAATTACCCCTCCGAATAATATAAATTACCCCCTCCGAATAGTATGAATTACCCCCTCCCCGTATAGCATTATACCCCACCCCTAGACAGTATGGATTGCCCTCTCTGGATAGAATGGATTACCCCCTCCGGATACTAGTACTGTGTGTGGATTGCCACCTCCGTTGGTCGTCGCGCCGCGCTCCACTCTGTTTGATATGTGACTCATAGCGACGTACACAACGCGTGTAAAATGATTCACGTCACACGAGTCAATTCGTCTCATTTCACATTCGTTCCATTTTTTGGTCCGTATAACGATCTTGAGCAGGATCAATTTCAAGGTTGGCATCGACGTGCGGTGTACGCTATGTTTTGTCTGACTCCTATTTTTAGAGCTGAGTAGACGACGGGGTGCTTCGTTTCTGTAATAAAATCGATGACTCGAATAGTATAACCACGGTTGTTCCGATCTTTTTGTGCTTACCGGGCGAGTTAGTAGTGGGCTAACCTTAAATCTGACGAATCGACTTTGGGACGGATTAACTTGTGGGACGAATCGACTTTGGGACGGATTAACTTGTGGGACGTATCAACTTGTGGGACGTATCGACTTGGGACGAATGTGATTTGGGACGAATCGCATTGTGGGACGAATCGACTTGGAACAAATCGACCGTCCCCCGTGTACAATACATTGTCTACGTGAAATTCGAACACGCCCTGCTCGACGACCACTGCTCTTTAACGGTGTTGTACGTTTCACAACGCTAAATTTCATGCTAGGACTTTTTAGCGGAGCATGTTTGTTATACTCTCATGACGACTGTTTTCGAGTTGCAAGTGTTTTTTTTTTTTAATTGTCTGTTAGGTTGGGGTGAATGGGAATATGTCATAGTTTAGAGTTCCACATTTTGCGGGATGAAAGATTTAGTACAGAGTATCAATAGAGGAGCGTGAATCCACGCGAGATTACGTCGAAGCCAGCTATTGTTTCCGCGTGTTGAACGTTGGGTCGCACATGACGAGTTCCTGTTTAGCGAGTTAAAGTGTAACCTGTAAGTCTTAACGTAAAAAGTGAGCGCCACAATGGTTTGTTTAAGAAATTAATGTGACTGCAGGCGACGAGAATAAGAGCAATGGTTGTTAATGACGGGCGGTATACTTGTTGAAGGAAACACTTCAATCATTTTAACATTTTAATCTACAAGAGCTGCAAAGGCGGATTCACAAACGCTAACAGTGTTTG